TATGCCGTTCTGGCCTTTTCCCTCTCTACTGGCTCCCTCTCCTCAGACTTTTCAAAGGAAATACATGAATATGCCCACATCATATAACATTAAACAACACAGAAGTATGACAATAATAATAGTTAGCATCTATTGAATATTTACCTTAAGCCAGGCATTGTTGCAGGTATGTTCATGTATTAATGCATTTAATTCTCAGAGTGACTTAAAGTGAACATGCGAAAGGAAAACAGCATGCATAGTATGATCCCATTTATGTTTCTTAAAAACGCATATGTACAATATATAGGGTAATACAACTAAAAACTTCTGGAAAGATACATACAAAACTATGTATCTTTTAAGTATTGTGATTTAATACTTAAATATTGGGACTTTAAGTATTGTGATTTAGAGAGCAGAGTTGTGACTACTTGGGTTCATGGAAGGCAGCTATGCTCACCACTATGCCACAAATGTCGACTGTGACTATTTGGGTTCAAATCCAGATTCTGGTACTTCTTAGCTTGGTATCTTGGACAAGTTACTTAGCCTCATTTTCCCTCAGTTTCTTCATCCATAAAATGGTAATACTAACAGTATTTACTTCATAAAGTTACTCTGAGAATTAAATGCATTAATACATGAACACCCTTGCAACAGTGTCTGGCTTAAGATAAGTATTCAATAGATGCTAAATATTATTATTGTCATACTTGAAGATATAGGAGAGAGGTAATATAGGAGATTGAGTAAGGTTACTGAGGACCCATATGTGAATAAGATCTGGAACACAGAAGGAACTAGACCTAGATTGGAAGAGGGCTATCTCTCATTTTAACAGTAGAAAGATGGCTGTGAATATATTCCTAATTTGGTAGTAGTAGGTAGTAGGAAGTTGGTTTCCTATGTGAAGACTTTTGAAGGGATTAAGAAGTACAAATTGGCAGTTACAGAATAGTCATGGGATGTAAAGTACAGCATAGGGAATATAGTCGATAATATTGTAAGAACTATGTATGGCGTCAGGTGGGTACTAGTTTTATTGGGGGGGTCACTTCATAAGTTATGTAAATGTCTAACCATTATGTAATACACTTGAAGCTAATATAATATTGATTATCAACTGTAAATGAAAAATAAAAAAAGATGAGTTATTTTATAAGATCGAGGATTTGGAGTTTTGAAGAAAATGGAGAAGCTTTGAAAGAATAGGTGGGGAGAATGAGAGAGTGAACTGAAAGTATGGAAGGATTCGCAGGAATATTGAAAGTCCACTTGAGTTTGGCAACTATGAATTTAGAGTGGTATCAATTATTCAACTGTGTGATTTTTTTTCTTGCAATATTTAACAACAACACTAGAGTGGAGAGGAAAGGCTGTGAACTAGATGCTAGATCTTCAATGAATGAGTAGAGGACAGCAAAGAGGGAGTTGGGGTGTAATCAAATGGAAACTCAGAGGAAGAAGAAGCAGGGTTTTTTCTTTCTTTTCTTTTTCTTTTTTCTCTTTCTCTTTTTTTTTTTTTTACCTGAGGGTGAAGGAGGAATTGTCTGGAAGTTGTAGTGTGGCTGGAAGAGGATGCTCACCTCACCTCCTGACTCTGCAGTACATGCACTGTGTTGGTATAAATCACTTTCATTTGAAAGGGTTGTAAGGGAAGTTCCATCCTCATGGGAAAGCCAGGAATATCAGTGGATAGTCAGAGATGAGTTGGAGGATGGTTAGGAGAATTTGTTAATCATGGAATGGTGTTCCAGGAGGCACAGCAGAAGCACCTGGAAGTTAAGGTAAAAGTGACAGGTCAGGTGGGGGAGAAGCAGCACAGAGGGATATGGGAATGATGTTAGAGGAGAAGAATAACAATAACAGTAATCGCAGTAATTTAATAATAACAATAATAATTTAACAGTGCTGTGCATAGATTATCTCATTGAATCTTCATAACCTCATGAAGCAGAGCCTTTATTACATAGACAAGAAGACAGGTACAGAGTTTAAGTGACTTGCCCAAGGTCACATAGCAAATAAGCTGAACTGGGTGATTACATATTGGGTAACGACAAAGGAAGACAAGAATGTGTGTGAGGCATGGTGGGTTTGGCTTATCACAAATTTGGTAAGATGTTTAGTCCTGATAGTCTTCTGATAAGGTTCTCAGGTCTCCATAAATTTAGCTGTATTTGAGACTGGAGGTGGGAGCTGCATTTTGTTGGTGTTCCTTATATTTCTCAGTATGAAAGGATCCAGGTGGTGGCCAGGGCAATGTATTTTCTTACCTGTGCTCTCCAGAGTAATTGGTGGTGGTGATGATAGTGATGTAATTCTTAGATATGTCTTGCCCTTGTGGAAGATATGTAGCCAGCTGTAGGAGGCTCTAAGGTGTGAGGCTGAGAGGCAGTTTGTGGGAAAAGTGACCCTAATGAAAGATTTCACAGGCTGTAGGTACTTAAAGATGTGAGGCCCATATGCAGGGGTCTGGCAGTGGCCCAATTCTTTCTTTCTGGGGAAAGTAGCTCCTCCAGTATTCAAAACTGTGACCTAGCTCCTGAAGAAACTTTTCTTTACCAGAGACCTGAAGGATTTTGTTGTCATGCTTATTGCTCAAAGAAGCTTATGAAGAAGAAAAGGAGGCCTTACTGCAAACATCTGGGGCAGCATTTTAGAACCTCATGTAGAAATGACCCTATAAAATCCTCTCAAAATTCTAAGAAGGCAAATACAATCACTAAATAATTAATGCTTGTTAGAGCTAGGTTAAATATTTTAGTAAGATGTATGATAGACTTGGGTTTTCTATGTCCTGTGCTGAATGTACATTGAGGACCCTTGTGAAATAAATTGCATAGAACACTTATGCACAAATTATAGTACAGAACATGTATGTCTAAAGCATAAGGGTCCTTTATAACTTATTCATTGCATGAATAAGTAAAGTTCATTATTTTAATTTTTGAAGAGGTTTGTTTTGAAGTATTTCTTCTTTAATGACATATTATTTGTTGTAGCAATGATTTATTTGAAGATGAGTTCTTTGTCAGGAGCAAACCCTCAATTATAACTTTGGAAAAACAGAATCCACTTTATGATGATACTGCGTGCAACACAAAACTAGAAACAGATTGCGGTGACAAGTGGGCCCTGTTTATGTATCTGTATAGATGGGTTATTAATGAAGGCATTCATGTACACATACAGAACTTAATACCTCATTAATACTAATAACCTGACTTGGCATTTTTTATAATTCAAATTCAGTTTCTGTGATTATCAGAGTGTATAAAAGTGGATTAAAATATGTATGTACAACACCTGAAATTAATATAATATTGAATATCAACTGTAGTTAAAAAGTTAAAAATTTAGCTATATATCTATTCCCATGCATGTGGGATTTGTCATAATTTAGATAGCGTATGTCTAATTTTTGTAGAATTAAAAGTTAGCTATCATTTCTAACTGCAAATATTCAGTATAATTATTTTATTTATTTATTTATTTATTTTATGCCTATAGCACCTGGTCTTCCTAGGTGGTCTCCCATCCAAGTACTAACCAGGCCTGACCCTGCTTAGCATCCGAGATCAGACGGGATCAGGCTTGTTCGAGATGGCATGGCCATAGACTCAGCATAATAATTTTAAATGAGTCTAAAATTAGTAGGTTTCTCAAACCAAAAGTTCAAGAAATTAGGAAATCCATCTAGGTGTTATTAATTTTGGAGTCCATCAAGTTAAATTTTATTTACTAGTGGAATATATAGTTATTACATTGTGTATCAATATGTAGATCGAATACAAATTATCTATTTTCACTCATCTCAAACTGCTTAATAGTAATTGTTTATTGCTGTTATAATTTATTTATTTTTACATAGTAGAAACTCAGGGTGATATGAGATTTGCCAGGGGAGTAGAGCTATTTGGCAAGGAGCCTGACAGTGTAGCACTAACCACAGCTTGGGGTCTGGGCTTCAGCTTTGCATGTTCCTGAACTCAATATTCTAAGTGTCACAGAACTGATTGATGCTGGGAATGCGAAGTCACACTAAGGATGTTCACAAGAGCACTATGTGTAAGCCAGAATACCAATTTATTAATTTACAAAGACAAACAATTGTTCACGCAGATTTGACAATAGAAAATTCTTTCCCAGCAGATCTTAATGGGAAGCTATAGTATAATCAGAAGATTGCTACCATAGAATCAAGACAAGGTGAGTTAGTTACACAATTTAAATACATAGTAGTGTTTGATATGATGGCTCCAACCACCCATCTCCCCTATGGAGACTAGTTTTTGCTCCCTGGAGAGATTGGTGTATTTTACAGGTCAGTGCACATCGACCCCAATGCCTATGGGTAGTGCCTGTTTAGCTTTTGTATTTTTCTATACTTTCTTTGATGATCAAAACCCTTGATTCGCTCTACTTTAAAAAAATTACACAAGTAAAAAGTTTATTTAGCTGTTATCTCTTCCATCAGATTAGTCAAGTGTTATTCTCCTAAAGGCCATTCTATCACTCAAAGAAATTACTTCTCTTGATTTATAGCTCAACTTATAGGTATGGAGGTGAGGCAGGGGATGGCAACCTAGTGAATAATTCTCTGGGGGTAACTTACTGTGGCCAGTGAAAATGGGTGCCGGGTTGAAATACAGGATGCCCGATTAAATTCAGATAAGGAATTTTTTTTCTATAAGTATGTTCCAAATATTACCTGAGGTATAGTTATACTTTAAAAAGTATTCATTGTTTATCTGAAATTCAAATTTAACTGCGCACCCTGTATTTTTATTTGCTAAACTCGGCAAGCCCAAGGAGTGCGTTAACGTGACACTATAAGGCTAGCCTGGGTTCATGTAGGTTGGTAAGCATCAATCCATTCGGTTGCCTCAGGGAACAAAAAACCTTTCCCACTAAAAAATTGTTTAACAGCAGGTCGCAACAAAACACGGAAGAATCTTGACCCTTTGAGGAACCCGTAACTGATATTACTGCCAGTAAGTGCTGTTTTGATTGATTTACCCGCCCCCTCCAGTCTTCTCTTCCTGCAACTAGCATGATTACTTTTTCTCTTATTCCTTCTCAAGTCTCGCCCTTTCAGCTACCCGCTCTGCAGAGCTACCGGTTGCCCAAAATGAGCCGGCAAAAACGCCGACGTGTTCAAAAGAGCGGAAGCAGACAGATTTCACTGAGAATCGTAAAGTGCGGCTTGGCTGGCTGTCTCCCTTTCCGGATAACGACAACAGTTCCGACTGTCAGTGCCAGCCTTCCTTGTGTATGGGGATCTGCCCGACCCTTGCTAATTCAATTTTTTCCCCATTCCGAGCCCTTCCCTATCGTCGCCCCCTTCACCTTGGATCATGTTCAAGAAGTAAGGACATGCTGTGGCCTCCATCGGCTGCTCACAAAGGTGGTGGGGATAGGAGTGGAGAAGAGGGCGAGAGCCAAGATCCTCTTTCTCTCCCCCGTCCCTGCCATACTTACTCCCTAAGGTTTTCTATAGTACTATGCTCTCATTCGCAACTTGCAACACGTCTTTAAGCTTTCCATCCTTAACCCTCAGTCGAGTTTCTGTTTTCTCACTCTTATTTTCTTTCTCCTTACCCCTTTCTCTTTTGCCTTCTCTCCCAATCTTAACTCCGTTCCGAGGGTTCTACCAATCAAATACTTGCACTGTGTCTTAGGGGCATATCCTCTTTAGTTAGGAGGAGAGCTCTTCACCCACTGCCATATGTTTATTAGTTATGAACTGAATAAAGGAAGGCTTGACTTCCTAGGTCATAGGAGTGAAGGAGTCTGGGTGACAGGAAGCAAGCGGGCTGTCATGCCTATTGCCTAGCTGCTAGATGATTAACCTTGTCTTGAAAACAGCGTGATTGCCTGCCTCCCTCCCTCCCCCCCCCAGGCTATTCAGTGTAAAGAAGACAAGAATTCCTTGGGAACCTATCTAGTGGGTTTGCCTTCCAGATATGGTAGACGCAAAAAGCAAAGTGGGAACATGGGCGAAGGAAGGTGGGTTTCGTTCATGACATTTTGAGCAAAAATAAACAAAGATCTTAGAAATCATCATCATCATCATCATCATCATCATCACTTAAAAAAAAAAATCTCAGTAGATTGCATAGCCTAGCAGAGACTGATTTTCTGTTATATTTATTTGGGTTGGTCTTTTGTATCTCAACGCTTGAGGGCTCTTTTATTTTGATTTGCTTTTGTTTTTTTCCCACAGGTTTTATTATAGGTGGGAATCTGTGTTTCTTCCTGGGTAGAGATGAATAAGATATTACAGAAAAGGCTTTTTTTGGGGGGGTAGCTGATTAAAGATTATAATGTGAAATATGCCTCATATCTCCTTCCTGTTAATTGTGTGTACATGGCAGTTTATTTTAATATTGTATTAAGATATTAGTTGTGCTGGACAGAATAAAAGGGAAATACTATTAAACAATTTATTTCATAATTATTTTCAGCATCTAAATACTGCTTGGGAATAGATGACTAATTAAAACACTACCTTTACCTATTCTGATATGTCTACTTATAAATGTTTTTTTTTTCCCCTGCAAAAATCATTTGGCAGATTTGATGAAAAAGAAAATGTGTCCAACTGCATCCAGTTGAAAACCTCAGTGATAAAGGGTATTAAGAACCAATTAATAGAGCAATTTCTAGGTATTGAACCATGGCTTAATCAAATCATGCCTAAGAAAGATCCCGTCAAAATAGTGCGATGGTAAGTCTTCATTTTTCTCCATGTAAGTAGCTGAATATTGTATGATTAGTTGCACTCATAATAAGTGGAATTATTTTCACATTAAATAATGATAGATTAATTATGGGGTAGATAAATAGAATAACTCTAAAACTAAACAATATTTGTATTTTTAAGTGTTTTTCTGTGTTTGAAAAGTGTGACTTTACGTACTGATTGCTTTATCAAGGAGCTAAATATTTTTATTTAGAGTTGGATTTAATTTATTTCAGCCAGTACTTTAGAGGTTTGTTTTATTGAATTATCTAACAATGAAATTAAAATAATAATATGTGCAATAAAATTGATTGTAGTAAGTCATATTTTTTCTTTAGTGGACTGGTATGATAGGTAAGACAATTTAAACAATTTTTTTTTACTTGAATCTTTATTGAAATGTAAAAAGAGCTCATGTATGTCTGTATATGCATGTTTCATATAATATATTATTTAAAGGATGTTTGGCATATTCATTTTTGAAAGTATTTAACTTGGTACTTTGTGACATTTGTCTTATAGCCATGAACATATAGAAATCCTTACAGTAAATGGAGTTACTGTTTTTTAGACAAAGAGAAGGGCCTTTTTATCCAACCCTAAGATTACTTCACAAATGTAAGTCTTGTTAGAAAATATGCATTTGAGAATATGGGGAGACATGAAAGGAGCTGAAAGTTACTTCTGGTAGTTAATTTGTTTATTAGTACTAGATAATGAGAAATATAAAACTAAAATGAATCCTCCCTTCTGTAGTAAACCTGTAAAATGTGCATTCTCACATTATGCATCCTAGAAAGCCCAAGAAAGAACATTCATTCACTCATTTGACAAATATTTATTGAACTTAATGTGCCAGGCACTGAGCTAGGTACTGAGAATATGATGGGAAGCAAAGATAGACATGGCCCCTGTCCCTATAAAACTAATACTCTAGTTGGGAGAATAGACTATAATTAGATAATTACACAAATATATATTCACAAACTGCGATAAGTGCTGTGAGCAGTGCATAAGAAGTTTTTAACTGTGAAGATTTCTGCTTTTCAAACCAGTATGTATCTGGCATTCTAGCCAAGAGGCAGAAAGGAAGGTAGTGACTAGAGGGTTCTGTAGGTGGTACTGGTGACTTAATAAGTTTGGTTTTGGGTAAGAGGACATAAATTTTGACTTACCTGGTGAAGCAGTAAAGCTGTTATGCAAGTCTTGAAACAGGTGAAGCAATTTAATATTTATAAAGGAATATTTATAATTATTTGATCAAGTGTTGATTTTATCAGGTGGAAAAAAAACTATGATAGAGAGAAATTGAGTCCTGATGCAATGGGAAAAAGTTTAAAATAAAAATGTTTCATGACATTAAGACATTTTAATGACATTAATTCTTACTCAACTAAAAGAGAACAGAGACAAAATAATCAAATGTATTGTATGAATCTAGATTGGATCCTGGTTTGAAAAACAAAATTCAAGCCCTCTTCCTCCCCCTTAAAAAAGATATGAAATACTTTTTTTGGGACTATTAAGGAAAATTTGAATATAGTTTGACTATAAGATGATATTGCAGAACTGTTGTTAAATTTTTAGGTATAATAATAGTGTGATTATATAGGAGAATGACTTTATTCTTAGATGACGTGTGCTTATGGTGAAGCATTATGTTTGAAATTTACAATGGTAGAGGAAAAATTATGTGTGTTTAAATAGATAAAGCAAATATAGCAAAGTGTTAATGAACCATCGTTGAATCTATGTGGATGGTGTCCAGGTGTTCATTGAATTATTACTCCAGTTTTTCCATATCTTAAGCATTTTCATAATAAGGTGGAAGAAAAAGATGTTCCTATTTAGTAGTATTTTGCTGGGAACCAACCTTTTAGAACATCTTAAAGTTATTCTTGTGCAAGAAGCAGGATAATATGGTGGTTAAAAGTATGAACTTGGGAGTTTGGCAGACCTGGGTTCAATTCCCAGTGCATGTCACTTTTGTCAAGTCACTTAACCTGTTTAAGCCTGTCTCCTTATTTTTTTAAAATGGATATAGTTGTATATTACATCTCCCAGGGTTGTGAGGATTAAATGAGATAGTGCATGTAATGCACCTAACACTATGCCTGGAACATAGTAAGTGCTCAATATATGAATATATGATAGCTATTATAATAGTGTAGTAATTCTTTAATAAATGTTCACTATTACTACATATTGTCATCATAATTATTATTAAAGGGCAGATAGTAATGAAGGTAGAGACATAGAAAAGAAATGATAGCTTGTGAGTAGTAAATGCATTCATTCATTCAGGTACCTTTTTATTAGTAAGATGTTTAAATTAATTTGTAGTCTTGGTAGGAAAAAAGACTCACTTGTTCTCTGACTAGAGGGAGGGCTAGTGGTAAAACATTAAAGTGAATAAATTTTACCAATTATTGTTATTCCTAGAGAGCCCTGAGAGGTATAAAAAGTCCCCCTGCCCACCCCAGTCATTGTTTTAAATCTTCCAGGGATCCTTTGTTAGATTATGAATTATTTGTAGACACACATACACACAAAAAACAATTTTCTAAACATTATAAAAGGAATATGTTCAATCTAGAGATTTGGAAAATACAGAAATAAAATCACTAGTATTCCCATGACCTAGAGATAACCATTGTTAATATATCGGCATACTTCCATCCAATTATTTCCTGTGTTGTGTATGTGTGTGTCTGTGTGTATGTGTAAATGTATATATTTTCCTTTTTAAATTGGGCTTTGTTATGTAGTTTAAAAAAAAATTAATAGACATTTTTAGAGCAGTTTTAGGTTTACAGAAAAATTGAGCAGAAAGAGTCCCCACATACTTCCTCCCCACCCTTCCCTTATTAACATCTTGCATTGGTGTGATACATTTGTTACATTTGATGAACCAATATTGATACATTATTAACCAAAGTCCATAGTTTACATTAGAATTCATTCTTTATGTTGTACATTCTGTGGATTTTTCCAAATGCATAATGTCCACCGTTTAAGTATTATACAGAATAGTTTCACTGCTCTAAAAATCCTTTGTGCTCCACTAATTCATTTTTCCCTCTTCTCTCTTGCCACCAACCCCAAGTAACCACTGATATTTTTGGTAGTTTATTCTGCTTTTTCCACTTAACATAATATTATGAACATTTCCCAGGGTGTTATGTATTCTTCAAAAACATAGTTCTATTACATAGATATTGCAGCTCCACCTTAAGTCATTTATCTCTTACTTTATTGGTGGGCCTTTTAAGTTGATTCCAGTTTATTTCTATTATCTAGTGCTGCAATGAATATATTTCTACCTAAATATGTTATACACCTCTCATTTTTTCTTAAGATAAACTCTTAGGAATAGAATTATTGAGTTAAAGAATTTGAACCTTTTCAAGGCTGTTGATACATGTTGCTAAGTAGTCCTAAAGAAAGGTCGTACCCATTTATAAGCCTCTTAGCAGTATACGGGAATGCCAGTTTTCCTACACTCTTGCTAGCACTGGGAATTACCTTTCTTAAAAATATTTACCAATTTGATAAGTGAAGGATGGTGTTTCAGTTTTATTTTGCATCTGTCAGAGTACTGTCATTTTGGGAAATATTTGTTCATGTCTTTTGCCTTTTTTCTGTTGAGTCATTAGTCTTATTAATTTATGTAATGTATTTTTCTTCTAGATCCTTTTATCCTGCCACATCAGCAGGTTGATAAAGGGGCCATCAAATTTTTACTCAGTGGAGCAAATATCATATGTCCAGGCTTAACTTCTCCTAGAGCTAAACTTTACCCTGCTGTAGTAGATACAATTGTTGTATCCTTCTCAGGCTGTAACTGTTGAAAAATATATTTATTGTATTCTTGTCATTACTGAAAGATCTATCATCCAAAAGAACACTAGATGTATTTTTTGGAGGTTATCATTACTGTTATCTCATGCCTTTGTGGTTATATTTGAAGATGTGGGAAGTAACATTATTTCTTGAGACTAAATTATGTCTCATCATAGAAGTTTAATGAAAATATGTAATAAAAGAGTCTCAGCTGCATTTCAGCCCAGTTAGGGTCCAATGTTATCAGATTCAGAATACAGTATACAACTCTCCATTGTTAATGGAGAGGATATATTTGATATGATCGGATCACATCAGCTTGCTACTTTTATGTTTGACTTACCCAGATACACTGGAGCAAAAAGGAAAAGAACTTAGGTACCAGGTAGAACGTTAGAAGCAGGTGGTGGGAAATATTGGCAAGCCCCAACTTTTATTTTTAAGTTAGTTCATTTTTAAGTTGGTTATTTGGGCCTCAGAGCATAATTTCTCACAGAGAAATATTAAAGTCCCAGATAGTCCTTAAAGATCTATTCAACTCATGATATAACTGAATAATTCTGTATTATTTCCATTTTTGTGGTGCTGTTTCAGCTATATTCTAGATTAAATAGGTTTTTGTCAATTAGTCTGGACAGGAGAACATCTTCTCCTTTGTCATAAATAAAGTGGCCATTTGCCTCATGTTGAGAAAAGGAACCATACTTGGTGGGAATGGAGAAATCACTGTGGAGTGGAGAGACCATTGGAATGAGCTTAAGAGTATATTCTGTGCTCAAAAGGAGGGTGTCATCTGTTGTGCAATTATATCTAAGGGGTGGTATAAGTTGTATGTTTATATCTTAGGAACAGCTTGTATTGACATAGATACTGGTCATATAATAGTCGCTCAAATATTTGTAGAACACTGAATGAATGAATTGAAAGTCAGTGGAGAAAAGTCTTCAGTTAAGGCCAGGTTACTTTTTTTTTAATGATTTTTCTGTGTTTTAAGTTTACAGTTCTGGAGTTCCTTTAAATGGAAAATTTTCCTAGTACCTAGCCTTTACTTTTTGAATAATTTTTATTTTGAAATAATTATAGACTTTTAGGAAGCTGCAAAACTAGTACAGAGAGGTACTGTGTACCCTTGAACCTTTACTTTTAAAAATATGTACTGCGGTGTTTAACATTGTAGATGCTTCAGATGATAACCAAGAATGTTCTGGTTGTTCTAGAAAGGTTGACATTTACATTGGGCTCTTAAAGATAGATTGGGGATATACTTCTTGTTTTACTGTGATCTTTACATAAAACCACCATTCAGTGATTGAAACACTAGAACAATTGATATCTATTTCACACTTTTTATGTGCAAGAAATATTTCCTTTTTTTTGCATGACTCATTCTGGTTTTGTTGGCTTTGGGTTATATTATTAACATTTGACTTAAAAACCAAGAATGATTATTTGATTTATTCATTTAGCATTTAATGAGCATTCACAATGTACCCACAGGCTCTGCTAGGTCCCTGCCCTTAAGGAGTTAATAGTCTAGGTGAGGGTACAAGAGGGGCTCAAAGTGGCTTAACTAGTAAAGTTTGACACCTCCTTTGCAAGGCATTTTGATAGTTTTCTTAGCTGTGTGTTTTCAGGCCATCATGGCAGAAGGAAAACAGCATGCTGTGTGTCGGAGTCATGAAGATGTCTGCAGAAGACATGTAAGTCTTATGTTAGCCCCCCTTAGCTTTTGAGATATGTGTAACCTGCTCAGGAAGCATAAGAATTACAGGTGAAATTTGCTCTCATTCATACCAGATCTTACAAATATGTAAGTACAGAAGCTTCATTTCTGATTTTTCCTAACACTTAAGAAGCCATTGAAACCTATTTTGTCTCCGGGATTGCATTCTTTCTTAAGTACTCTGAAAAGAACCTGTGTGCCAACACAGCTGTTTTATATGTATGGATGTGGTATTTTAGGAGTTTTTTATTTAGTGTGATTTAAACTGGGTGAGGAGAGATATTTTGCTACTAATTTTTAAAACAATGACATAGTTCAGCACCACACAATATTTATTTTATATTTTGACCTGGTGGTATAGAATATTAAATAAGTAATATTACCAAAATATAGTCAATATATTTAAAACCTCTGGAACTCATTTGACGACCAAATTATGTGTTAATTTTGATTCAATATTAATTGTAACACTTTGATGTTCTCCTGGTATGGTGACACATTGTAACTCTGTTTATATAGACCCGCTAGTTTACTAGAATCACTTTAAGATATGAACTGCAGCAGAATAATGTAGTTTAATGTAGACAGTAATGTTAATGTATTATAAATACTTTCCATAATTGCTAAATAGCAATGCACTTTGAATTATATTTACCATGACTAAGCCTATAAAAATGCATAACAATATGTTTATGTGAATTTTTCCTTCTATAGTGAGAAAGTCAACAAAAGAATTGGCATTGAAGATATCCATTATTTAAATGATGGGCTGTGGCATACGAAGACATATAAATGAGCCTCAGAAGGAATGGATTTGGGCTAAATATGGATATTATGCTGTATCTGTGTGTGTCTATGTGAGACAGGATGAAGACAATACCTCTGTGGTTATGCTGAATAAATTCAACAGATGCTAAAATTCTGTTAGCTTCAAAAATTATTTGTTTTTCTTAAACTCAAGTTAAAATTGGGTAACAAACTTGGACATTAAAAGGTATCTGGTAAGTAACCAAACTCAGACAACTTCATGTCCTTTCTTAGGCTAATAATGAAGGGCTGGACTTGGTCAAGGAACTTGCCAATATATGGCTGACACTCTAGAGAATCTGACAATTTAATGGGCTGGAAGCTAGACTGGGAATTTTATCTGATTATCCCAAGGCACCTAGAAGTGCCCCTTCCCTCTCGTGTGTGTTTTTTGTTTGTTGTTTTTAAACTTTTCATTATGGGAAATTCTAAACATATACAAAAGTATGGGGAAAGTAGTCTAATGGACCTTTTCTGTATGTTACCTAGCTTCAATTCATGGCCAGTTTATTTCGTCTATATCTCACTTATTCTTTTCCACCCTACTCCCTAAGTATTTTGAAGCAAATCTCAGATATATCATTAAATCCATAATTACTTTAATATGTATCTTTAAAAGATGTTTTTTTCTTAAAAAAAAAACACAATATCATTATCACACCTAAAAAATTATATCTGGACTGTGCTCAAGTACGTGACAAATGGACTTTCTCTCTTATTTTTGTAATCATTGGTTTGCTTGAACTAGGTATTAGACAAGGTCCATATATAGCATTTGGTTGTTATGTCTTTTTATCTATAAGTTCCCCCTTTTTCCTTTTCCCTTTAAATTATTTAAGAAATTTAGTTGTTTTGTCTTAGTTTCTTCCCACATTCTGGATTTTGTTGATTATATCACTGTTAATTTAACTTGTTGTATGCCCTTGTATAGCTTGTAAATACATAAGCTTGATCAGATTCCGGTTGTTTATTTAGTGTCCTTTTGAAGCTACACAGATGCCCAGAACTTCCAGGTTTGGGTCCCCACTATATTACTCAAATAATGTGTATCTCCTATCATAAGTAGCATATGAAGGCCATGGACCTACTTCAGTAAGAACAGTAAACAGATGGGAGTTAAATGAACAGTTATGAATTTACATAGTGATAATAGGCCTTTCTTCCTAATAACTTTGCCATTATTCTAGTGTGTCAGCCATCTTCATTTGGTTGTTTACAAATATATGACATGTAGTTTTATTTTTCAGATAGATACAGACATTTACAAGATTGTGGTGACCTGTGTTTCAGTTAGAAGTTGGTGAGAAAGGTGAGGGTGGAAGTAAAAAAGACGATTCAGCTGGCTGTTGCAGCTGGGCCTCCCAAAATATAATATAGGTGAAGGTAACAGATCCAGGGTTTAACACTCAGATGGAGAAACTATTTCCCACTAATGAAACTTGTGAGACTTAGAGATTCTCATGTTAGAATGTAAATATATTAATTTATAGTAATAAGCCTGCTTAAAGTAAACAATTAGTAAACAAGAAGTTTCTTGGTGAACATGGCTAAGAGCTAAAAAAAAAAAAAAAGGAGGTAATTTGGGGGAATATTTCAGTTGGGTTGGGGTAAGGCTTGGAGAATTTTTCCTGTTTCATTAATTAGAATGCTTATGTCTGCCGTAATCTTCCTATCCTAGCCCATAGAGGTTCCCTGATATTTTACTTCCTACATCCTTTTTAAGTTCTATGTAGAAATTTTCCTGTAATGACAGTTATATTCTACAGTTTACCATATTGTTACATTTTATTATTTATTCCTGGTGGATAAAAGTGTCAATAGTCTCATCAGCAACTCTTATAAATCATCTTTTAGGGTAGGATTTTTTAATAATTTCATTTTGTGCTGATTTACTGGTTTCAAATTCTGATATCTCCCCATTTGGAGGAGGAGGCATCCCATTTGAGGCCTATAACTAGCTCCTCATAGACTTAAAAAGAGAATACCTTAGTCATTTATGTCAAAACTAAACTTTGAACCTTTTTTTTTGTGTGTTAAGATAATGTTAATTGACCAAGGTAGTCTTTGGAGTGTTAGCAGTGAAAAACAAAGCACACACATATATTAGAGAAGTTAAAACCTTTTATTGCCTGGTTTCTGAAATAATTTATTCTTGTTTCTAAACACTTT